CAAGTGGTCCTACGCTGCAGCCATTGTTGCAGCTGCTGTGTCAATCCAACTTGTTGAGGGCCTTCCTCGTTGATACTGAACCTCTACTTTCCCAAGCATGATGTGTTCTCCAAGGGCTGGTCTCTCCTGTCCCATTGGGCCCGGGCTAAAAGAGAGGGTTCATTTATTTGAGCTGGATTTTCAGAAGACTCCACTTAGTTTGTGTGAGGGGCAGTTTTATGTATCAGCACGGCTAGGTCATCATCCGCCACTATTCAATCAAACACCAAGTCTGTGTATCCCATGTTGTAGATGTGATTACAGGCCATAATCCGTTGACTTGGAAAAAGGAAAGATCATATTAATCCGTGTGGGTGAACTGAGCCAGTCAGTTGAAAGCTCATAACAGCAGAGCTGAAGTCTACTCGGTGAAGAAGAGATGTCATTTGTGGGCAGCACTTTGGCCTCTTCTGAGAGGGCCAGCCTCCCCTTTCTGTGGCCTGTCTGACTGACCTACCTGCCAGTCCTCACAATACACCCTGTCCAATCCGGGTACTTTACCTTTGAATACAGATGAGAGGGCTTCAAAAAGGTCATGGAAAAAATAAAATGAAAAGATAATAGAGTTTTTCCCACAAAATTTGTGGAGACCCCTGTTTCTCTGATTGGTTCTGTTTCTCAGCTGTAACTTTAGTGGATGCAGTCCCAACACGGTCTTTAAAATGTCACTTCAACTTGGACAACTTCTTTGGAATCTCTGATCCTACAGCCAACGAGGCAACTGCAGAAGCTATGAAGTTTATTCAGGTTGAAGAAATCGGTAGTCTTTCCTTTGGCTAAAGAGAACCGATGTCTATCTAACAACAGTAAAGATACCATTCTAGGCCAAGGGGAGGTCTGCCTGGGTGTTCAGAGACTGCATTACGGCCAACATGGGGAGCTCAGTTTGTCTTACTTATTCCCCCATACAACAAACCGCTCATTTATTTTATTTAATCAGGGGAGGAATTGTGTATGAGCTGCCATGATTGGTGCGTAGGAGTTATGGTAGGAACCTAATCAGACAGAACATATAAACAGAGGAAGCTAACAATATAAAATGCTATTGAAGTGAATGACATGTGTAAGTGTGAGACACGTCGTCGTTGTTAGGTGCCATCAAGTCGGTCTTCACCCCCAGCAACCTTCTGCCCAACAGGAGGAACCACTGCCCAGCCCTGCACCCTCCTCACCATCGTCCTCACACTGGAGTCCCCTGTTGCTGTCCCCGTGTCCGTGCGTCTCCTGGAGGGCCTTCCTCTGCGTCACTGTCCCTCCACCAAACACAATGTCCTGTCCAGGGACAGGTCTCTTCTGACAGCATGCCCAAAGTATGGAAGACGAAGCCTCGCCATCCTTGCCTCTAAGAAGCGCTCTGGCCGTACTGCTTCCAAGACAGCTCCATGTATCCTTTTAGCAGTCCTTGGTACTTTCAATATCCTTCTCCAGCGCCGCAATGCCAACGGCTCAGCACTTCTTCGGTCTTCACGACTCAATGTCCCGCTCCCACCTGCAGAGCAGGTGACGGAAGCACCACGGCTTGACACAGAGTAGACGACAAGCAAAATGTTTGCATCCTCTCCCCGAAGGAGGGTGCATGTGACACAAACAATATGACCAACGGTATCAGGAAGCAGTAAGTCAGTCCCTCTGCTTACAGGGAACAGGAGAGGAGGTACCCAGAGCAGAACTGGAACTTACAATGAGCAGGGAAAATCGGCAGAGCCAGCCCATGGGGCAAACCCAAGCCCCTGGGGCAAGCCCAAGCCCCGAAAGACAAAAACAAAACAAAACCCTAAACATGCTTCCATCAAGTCAATTCGGACTCATGGCGACAATATAGAACAGAGTAGAACTGTCCCTTGGGGCTGGGGACCTGTAACTATTGAGGGGACCTGAAGGCCTCCTCTTTCTTCTCCAGCACATGGGGAAGCATATGGACTGGTGTCAGAACAGGGTCAAGAAGAACAGGGGTGGAGGGGGTAGATGCTAAGACCAACCTAGTGGTTAGCAGCCCAGTGCCTAACCCACTGTGCCACCAGGGCTCCCAGGAGGTGGCAGTGTCTGAGTACCAATGTTCAGGCCACAGTGGAGGGCCGCTTGTGTTCCCTCCATTCTCCTGGTCTTCTACCATGGGGGCACTGACTTTCCACACAGAGACACCGAGGAGAGACACTTTCCACACAGAGATGCCACACAGAGACACTCCCATGGCCAGAGAGCTCCCTGTCTATGTCTTGTCGCTTTTAAAGGGAGGATCTGGGTGTCCCCTCTTAAGAACCTCTCATATCGTATGTGGAGGTTTTCAAAAGTTCCTGGGAGAAAAGTGGAGTTCAAAGAGAATGGGCATATTCCACGAGCATTTGGAAACCCCCTCATATGTCTAGGTCCCCTGAGGCGTTTGTCCCTTCACCACAGAAAGAATGACGGTAGGCGCTCTGAGCCAAGGGCTTCCCAATCAAAGGGGCTCTTGAGGATGAACCAGCACCAACAATGTATGTGTAAAGCAGAAAGATGGGAGAACCACGACTTGGGGGTGCTCCCGAGATCATGGGGTACCCCCATGACAGGCAGGAAAACAATGGAAGACAGAACACTGGGTTGCGTTTGGTAGGAACACCCCCTTAGGGAGTTTCAGAGAGGCAATGATGATCATGAGTGGTCTTGCCTCCTGAGTTAGTTAATTGTGCCAGCCTGGCCGATAATCACATGTGGGGCTGGTTGAAAGGCGGAGGGATAAATGGGTGGTGAAGCCTCGCTTGCCTTTCTAGTTCTCGGGTCTCTTGTTTTGTGATGGTTGCACCGGGTGCAGCTGCCTTAGCAGTTCCCTACTTCAGCTTGCAAGATTGACTTCCTATAAGACATCCCCAAGGAGAAGCTACATGGACCTATCC